GCATCTATCCCACACTTTCTCAGTTTTGCTAGCAGGATGTCATGGGAGACAGTATCAAAAGCCTTGCTGAAAGGCAATCTGAAGGACATGAGCGTTTTGGGAAGTTTCTATGCTGCAGCTCAGCAAGGCCTACAAAGCACAGCACTGTAGCAGGCTAACCCCTGACTTCAAGCTCCCTCTCACCCACCCTGCTTACCTGTGGCTGCTGTGGGACTGAGGAAGTTAAAGACAACTTTCCAGGTTCAGTGTACATTAGAAGGCAGGAATGGGATGGTATCATGCATAAAACAGCGTTAGTAAATGGCAATGGTGGCTGTTACAAAGTATGCATGAAGTAGACAACAAGAATAGGAAAGAGCATGAAATAACAAGAAAAAAAATAGTCCCTGTAGGAGATAAATCTTTTAAAGACAAAAAATCTTTTATATAATTATATAGGCATGACACTGGGCCAAGACTACTGTACAGCTGCCTCAACTAGGTATTTGAAGACCCCTCTCTGCAGGGTTGGCATCTTATTATTGTCTCAGTAACCTCATAGCAGTTTGGTTCAAGGGAGAGGTAACATCCCTAAACATGCACAATTCTTCCTGAGAGGAACAGGTGATAGAGAGAGAGACTGCAGTCAGTGGGGCACACACCTTCTCACTTTTCCTAAGCCCCATCCTCAGCAACAGCTCCTGTGGCTGATGTTTTCTGCCTATTTTCTCCTCCACTATACAAGTGCCCCGTTGCACTTGTACTTCTGATATCAGTTCAAAAATATGACGTCAATGGAGAGACAGGCTTTTTCTATTTGCAAGCAATGAAAAACAAGGGAGTGCCTTTTGCTTACAGAGGATTCTGTAGCTCTGTGAAGGAACTGACACGAAATGAGGTGCATGAGTTGCAGCTGGCTGCAGTTAAAAGGCAGGCAAGGAAAGCTGGTGATCTGCAGTCTGTAGCTATACACCACAATGCAGTTGTACCTGCTGCAGCTCCAGGAATTTTGGCCTCTGGGGATCTGAAAAATCTTGAAAAGGTTGCAGAAATATGAGCTACTGAGGAGCTTCAGTGGTCACAAAGGAAAATCAGTGCATGGCAGCTCTTCTGCAGAGCCTGTTCCTTGCTTGCTGTTCTGTATTTGTTCTGCACAACCACAGACAGCCAGCAGTCCCTCCTTTCTATATACCTATTTTGACTGCTCCTGAACTGGCTCCTCTCTGCAAAGCTCTTCTGCATGACTTCTTTCACCATAGCTGTTCTGCACTTTTGCATTTTGCCCTCTACAGCAGCTGCTGTGTTTATTTTCTCCACTGGTTGTGCACCAGCTATTCTGTAGCACCATATATCCCAGACAGTCATCTTACACTCTTTTAATTTTGTTTTGACTGCTTGTTTCTTGCTTGGGGGTTTGTTGGTTTACCAGAAATCCAGAATAAATAGGATTTATCTATTTATTTCTTCATAATCTCTGAAGTCTGGAGTGCTTTGCTGAGCATTTCAGGTCTGTAACATAGTCTAGGGTAGTGGTTTGGTGATTTTTTATTTTTTTATATATATAAACTGAAGACACTACAGGATATAAAAGATGATGCTGTCTCTGTTCAGGCACTGCTAGCCAGGAAATGGTGTTCAAAGACATGTGAGACTGAGAGTTTATCCCAGAGGTGGTGTTATGGATAGTATGGGTATGCTCCCTGTACCCACATCTAGGGCTAAAGTCTGAGGATTACTTTGAAGTGGGAAGAAGACCAAAACAGGGAAGGAAAAGGGGATGTAGCAGCATGTTTATTTTATTTTATTCCCTTTATTTACTTGGGTTCCTGTAATCTTCATTTAACTGAAGGTGCCTGGGGAAACAAACATCCAGGTCTGTGTTCGTTCCCATCCCTCTTCCCACAGTAGCAGATTATTTTTGCAACTTTGGTGTTCCACAAATAGTAGATTTGGTCTTTTATCCAGACCTTCCCAGTGCTTAGATCAGCAGACACAGCTTGGTGGGGTTGTGCAGCAGAAAACTGTATTGGCTATGCCATGGAGTGTAAACCTAGGCTGAAAGAAGCAGAACCACCAGCAGTTAAAGCAGAGCTGTTTAGAAAAGATTGTTGGCCGGTCCAAATCTCTATCTTTTGGCAAGCACGCAGGGCAACGCTATATTGCATTTTTCTACCAAAAAGTGCTCAGCAAAAAACAAAACAAACAAAAAAGAAAGAGAGAGGGAGAAAAAGATATTTATTTTTTCTCTTTTGATTTTTATCCTCTGGAGAGAAAGGTCAGACAAAGCAGGTCTCCCCCAATCCTCTTTCCTCTTCCCCTCCCTCTCTATCAAAGGGCTCTTCTGGAGACTGTGAGAATATGTCAATATTAAACAGCATTTTCCCTGTAAGGGTCCCTGGAGAATAACAGAAGTAACTGCTCACTCTTTCTTTCTTCAACAAACACCAGCCAGCCTTCACAAACAGCCAACTGAGGCATAGTCAGGAAAAAACAAGTTCTTAAAGGAAGCAGTCGCCAAGGAAAATAATTGGGCAGCATGAGGGGTTTGGTGACGCAGCTGCACAGCTGCGAAGTTCAACGACTTCTCGATTGCATCCATCTGAAGTTGTGCTCCACTATGAAAAGATCTACCTCCATAGCTATAAATAGTCCGGCATGATGGTTTGCTGCTTGAAATCCCAGATACAGCTTGGGAAAAATAAAACAAAATCAAACCCTGTCAACTAACCCAATGCATAACAAGAAAATAAGAAGCATTCAACATCTTCTCAGTAAGATCCTAAATGGCAGAGACAATGAAGCTGGAGAATACAGTGCTAATGTCTTCAAAGATGATTTTCTAGCTTCTCATCTGGTCTTGAAGATATGCACTGATATGGCAGCAATGCCAACTTGTCTGCTCTCCTGGGCAGGTGGAAACCCACATCAGGGTTGATGTCAGGTAGACTGGCTGCCAGTTTTTCATCTGAGCTACCTGTCTAGATGTCCTTTAGCATCAAGATAAAGAAATGGTAGTTTCATCTTTTCAGAAAGTGTAAAACAGATCCAAAAACTGTATCCTAAAACTATTTACTACAAGCCTCCTTCCTGTAAAGAGGGCCTCGGGTGACTAGAATTGATGTACATGTCTGGGTCATACAAATCTCAAGGTTGGTGAGGTGAGTTTCAACCCACTGATCTTACAGCAGGCTGTAACGAAGGTTTTGCCTCTGGTTACCAGCATACTTTCAAATAAGTAAAAAAAAAAAATCTGAATATTGTCTCAAGTCCAGGAGAAGTAATTCATAAAGTTCTGGGGCAATTGGAAAAATGAACTCTGAGTGTAGTAATAAGAGATGTTTCATGGTATAGTCTAGAAGGTATATTCGCAACAGCATTGGATACCTTTTTTAATTGAAGGTAACAAAATGATTTCTGCCTTACACAAAATGTTATCTGACAAGTTATCTGATCAGAGTCTGAAATGCATTGATTACATTCATCTTTCTAGCCATGTTACTTCTCAAGCAGTTTCTTTCCCATCTGTAAGTCCAGATGTAAGGAACATAGGAAATATAGATTGAAACCACAAAAAATACTCCCAAATACCTTTTTTATGTACATAAAAATATCTGAGCTTGAAAGTGCATTATGTTGGTAGTCTTTGTGATCAGACACCAGTGCTGTTTCCCATTGCAAGTTGTGCAGGTCACCTCCTGCAAGCTGTATATTCCCCTGAAAAACCTGCTATTGCTTACATTAGGGGCATAAACTGCCAGCTGTGCCTCTACAGAAAGATTTCAACATTTGAATTACATTACTCCTCTGGGATTAAATATTGCCATTCTGGTGTACTAAAATATTGCCATTCTGGCCTATAAATCTTACAATGAAATCCCATATTCAGGGGAAAGCAGGAAAAATGTTGTGGTCGGTCAAGGGAGTTCTGATATTTTGAAAAGCCCTTTACAGCTTCTCAGTGGTTTGGGTTGTCAGATGTTATATGAAGAGAAGAAATCAGCGGGCAGAGTGTGAGAAAGTGATGAGAGGTACAGTGATAAATGTATACCATTGTTCCACGTTTTCTTTCATCAGAATGTATGTACATATGGTCTATGTTTTTGCTGTTTTTGCTTTTTGTTTGTTTGTTTTTTAACAAATTATCTAAATGCTAGTGAGATTTTTTTAAGTAAAAGTTCTCTGATTTCTTGCAGACCAGTACCATTAGTGTTATTGGTATGAGGCTAAACAACCACAAACAGAAATCTAGCATGGTATGAGGGAGCTGAGGGAGCTCTTTCTTTTTTTTTCTTTTTCTTTTTTTTTTTTTTTTTGGCCTCACATCTGCAACAGCAGCTGCAGAAAAAAGAAAGACATGAGTAAATCCTGGCAAATCAAAAAAGAGCAGCCTCTGAAAGCAACCTGCCTAACTCCTGTAAATCACCACCAGCCCTTTAAAATACAACAAGGTTTTCTACAAATTAGTTGTACCACTGAAACAATTTAATATGTGTTGAAAATTAAAAAATGGAATCTGTACTCGTTTTGCACTGATAGGCATTATGAATTTACCTTAACTTGGGACAATATTTACAAAACATACTTTTTGAACAACCATATTCCAAAACAGGATAGGTAATTAAATAAAATTGGAACAGAAAAGTGAACCTTGTCTAAGAGTATTTTTTTTTTTCATTGGGACATATTTTCATAACACATTTATTTTGCATAGTACTGAGGAAATTTGACCCAGTGGAGTTAATTGCTAATGCTGTCAACCCTAATGGCATGGGGTCAGGCTCTGAAATTAAAGATTAAGGCACAATGGATCTCTAAAGGACACCTGAAAATCATCCCATCAACTAGCAAAACCCTCCTTGGATTTTGGGTAGATTACCATAATTCTGTGGGCTGCTGCAGGTGAGGCATACCTTTGCCTGATGCCAATAGGTAATTGTAATGGTTGTGGGGGTTTGCAGCAATTGCTATTAATTACAACATCTGGGCAGAAATTATCTCTCCCAGCTTGCTCATATAAAAGAGGTTCCTTATCCATCTCCATCTGCCCATGTTCAAGAACGTGCTTCTGCAGATGATAAAAGGGCATAAAATATAGCATTTTCCAAGAAAACTCTGTTTCCCCTTTAATGACACTACTATTCCTCTTCTGTAAGGTAAAAATTTTCTACAGTTATCATCTTGCTCAGGTCAATGAACAGACAGCAAGGAGTTTTGCTGTTTAATCCTAGGTTTTGAACAGAAAAGATTTTTATGTTGATGCATTTAAATTTTGTATGTGCAAGCATGGATTTATGAGTCATAGATGCACCCTCTGTGAAATCAAGTCTCTGTGGTCCTGGTTTTTTGTTTGTTTTATTTTGTTTGTTTTTGTTTGTTTGTTTTACAGAAGAAAAAGAAAGGAAGAAGTCTCTGAGCAAAAGAAAGCAAAAAAAAAAAAAAAAAAAAAAAAGGAGCTACACAATGACCTCTTTCCTCTGTTAACATGGGTGAAGAAGAAGAAGAGGAAGTGAAGTGTCAGTAGGCTCTGCCTGGGATTAGGAGTAGCTGGATGATGTAGAGATTTATTTATCTGTCTGTGTCTTTATGGAAACCTATTCCTATGGTATTTGAGGTCCAGGTTCTCCAGAAGATGTAGGTGGTATGTCATGAATACCTTATAGATTATGTGATTCATCATGTGTGGCTCATGGGTACTATATTTGCTAGAGACTGACCATAAAACAAAATTTATATGTGTGTGGCAATTTCTGACACCACAGCACTGGTCTGTGTCCTGATTCCGGGGAGAAAATGTCAGAATGTAAACATCTTTCCTGGAGTTAAGATTTCCCACCAGTTCATCTTGACAATTCCAATCACACCAAAACATTTCAATATATGTATTTGTCTCCCAAAACCAGAGCAGTAGCTCAGACAGAAATTACAGTACTTTACAATACAGAGCTCACAGAGAACATGGATTGAAGATAGGAAGAGAGGAGGCATTTTTGTTTTTTGTATGGGTAGTTATTATAATGCACAGAAATTTGTTAATAAGTATATGATTAACTTAATCCCACACTATGTGTGAGAAGTAGGTAAAGAAATCTTACCAATATTTGGTCTCGCTTATACAATCAAGGAAAAGAAAACCATAATAGTCATATTTTGACACTGTATGCAATTTATCAGGATTTTAATGGCAGGTATATATTAATAATAAGGAACAAATGGAGTTTCACTCTAATAAAGGTCTTAGGATAAAATTACACCATTCTGAGAATCTGCTTCAGGTCCAGTTTTTAAAGTTACACAAAATAGGAAAGAACTGCATGAAGTTAAGCCTTACTGGTTAAAAAACACTGTATAGCAGAAGTGTTTCTGCTGTTAGTACCAAAAATGATTCATCCCATTCTCAGTGATAATTCCCCACCTATTTTTTGCCAAGATTAACAAATAGAAAGTTGTGTGGAATGTAATGTGCTACACAGGTAGGGTAGGTTTGGATTGAAATTATCGCCTCAAAACAGAAACAAAAAATCCTGTCAATGTGCTATTCAACTCTTTTCATCCGTGCGTGCAGAGATTAGGAAAGGGGATTTTAACTGCACAGAGGGCGTTTTGGATTAAACCCAAAATCTAATCCCATGTCTGTAGCAATAGTATTTTGAAAAATCATTTTTCAGCTGCTATGGTAAATGTTTCTAAAAACAGAGGAGAGGTTTACAATCTGTTACAACAATGAATCAAAATAACTCTGCTCGTTTTCCTCATGCAGTCTCAAGAGCCTTGGGAAGCACCACCTTGACTCATTTGAAACGGAAGAATGATTGACAAAGTAATATAGCTCAGAAACTGAAAAAGAAAACAGGTAGATTAATTATCCATTAAATTAATACTCATCTGTTCCCAAGAGTTCCAGTCATTGAAGCTGGATGTGCTTAATAAACAGTATGTCTGTGGCTCCAGTATGAGTGCACCTTAGAAACCTAGGGCCTGATCCTAAAATCTGTGAAGCAAAACATATGCTAGAAGTTAAGTACATGATCAATACATCAGTGAACACTGCGGTCTGGGCCATGCTGCAATTCTCCTGATGTGAATTTTAAAACATCCCTGCAAATTTCTGCAAGTGATTGATCGCAGTTTGCTGTTCCAACAAATATTTCGTATGCCACTGGTAGAAGGCCTGTGGTATCACTGATCTTATGAGTGACAACACAGCATACAAATCTAATTAACCCCAAGTTATAGATACTATAAAACATACAAGATGCATTCACTTTTATTCATTTCACATGCGTGTATACAGTCTATACATGTATAACAATAAGGGAGATGAATATGCAGAAGAATAAAAGAATTGCAGAGGTATTTATCAGGGAAATGCAAAGATGAAAGATGAATTCTGTGCCTTGCAGATGTTAAAATATCTGATACTGGGAACTTAAAAACAGCTGTTCTAACTGGTCCTTGTCAGATAAAACACCCTGCTCAGAGTATTGGCAATAGTGCAGAAAACACATCGTCTGACAGATGTTTCCTTCTGTGATTTGTGCAGAGGTATTATCAAATGAGATTACACCACATGTGGTGATCAATAGGATGGTGCTGAAATTCTTTGTAGTTTAATAGTAACTCAGGGTGCAGTTAGACAGCTATATCTAGAGCTAGTTTTGTTTTGTTTTATTTATTTTTTATTGTTTTATCAGCAGATACAGATAACTCTTATCCAGCCGTTTTATAGGCTGTCTAATGATTCATGTTAATTTTCTGTAAACCTTTGAACTGTAGCGATGCTCCATGGATTGCTTCAGGTGAGACTGGAAGATCCCTGACATTTTTAAGGCCTTCTAATTAATAAGCATATAAATAAGCATCCAAGGATAGATTGTGATGTGATCTTTGAGTCATGCTAATAACTTAGCAGCTCATATAATGAGTTGAAATTGGAAATGATAAACTGATCTGAATGTGTGGGGGAGGAAAAAAAAAAAAGGATTTTGTTTGCATTTTATGCAGACCACAGGAATGAGTTGTGTGACAGTATGAAGGCAAAAGAGGAGGTGGCTAAGGTAAATAAACTGTAGTGCAAATAAAATGTTTTCTGCAACTCATTTGAAAATTAGGGGGTTTGCAATTCAAATATATTCCATACTGTGATGCTGGATTAGTTGTTCAACGTTCCTTATGCTTCAGCCCCATCCTTTTACTGTCACTGGTTACTGACATGAAGCACTCAGGCAAATAATATTCTGCTATCAAATCACAAATGCTGTCTCTGTGTGATTAAAAAAGAAAAACACCACCACCACCACCAAAAAAAAGAGGCTCAGTGAGCCTGTGTGGTCTACAACAAGATAGACGTCTAAATGGAGATTGCCTCCTCTCTGGTTTTCAGTCTCGTCACTGAAACCATAGTTCATGACTGTGAATATGTGCTTTTATAGATGTCTGAATTCAGTGTCTCAGCAGGGCAAAGGCAACGTGCCCAATTACCCAGGATGATGTATCTAAGCCTCCCAATGTTTAATTTGGACTGCATTTCAGCTGACAATTTAAATTTCATTGATTATTATTATTTGATCTTGATAAGCCACAATCCATTGTCCAATGTCCAGCAGGTTTTGTTTTCCTGGCTTCATTTCATGCTCTCTGTTTCTCCTTTGTCAGAAAACTAACTTTTTTTTTTTTTTTTTTTTTTAATGTATGTTTGGTTTGTGTCAATTTTCAGCCAGAAAACAGGGTATTAAGGCTCTTATAATTTTAAGATAGAATAGTAAGAAAAATAAAATTATCCCTTGGACCTTTCTTTTTTTAACCTCTGTAAACTAATGCAGTTCATAGGAAAATCTCAGAGCTAATGCCAAACAAGATAAATTCAGCCTTGGTTGAAGATCTTCCACTTTCTTTTAACTTTGTGAGATGAAATTTCTAGTACTTGAATAAAACCTGGAAGCAGTCAAAGGGGAAGGATGGACTCCATTTTTATAGGACTTGGAGGGAAAAAGTCCCAAATGAAATTTCCCTCCAATGGGAAATATTTTGTGAAATGTGACCTGCTGGTCTCTTTCCTACATGTTATGAAATATTTAAAGAAGATTGCATTAATATTTGGATATGTAGATCCATTAATATGATCTGTTACCATCCAAGAAAACAAAAGGGCACCAAGTAATGGCAAGTTCTCGAAGTCTATGGCCTTAATCACATCTCTAGGCTGTGTCGAGGGCTTGAACATGGTGTGTCCCTCAGACTGATCTCAAGCAGGTAGAAGTGTGACTCTGGCCAGTAGCAAAAGGGCCTGGCTGACTTTGTAAAGCGTTTTTGTGCAGAAATTGTGTCTGTGCTGACAGATCTTATCTGCACAATGATCCGCAACAACAAGAGCAGACGCTTGTCTGAAATGGTCGGCTTTTTTGGCAAACAGCCTTCATTATCGGCCATCTGCAAAGTATCTCAACATGCGAACAACCAGGAACAGGAAAAAAATCCTCATAAATATCTGCGCACGTTAACAACGCATCTGATTCTGGAAGGTCAGAGACATCTGGGAGCTGTTTGGAAAGCTGGGAGTGTTTGCGCTATGAAAAACAGCTGACAGCTTTAAGGTGCGCTGGAAGTGGCTAACTACGAGTCACCTGTCAGCCTCCTCGTAAATCTGTTAGAAAGCAGATTATGCACAAACTGGCTGGTATTCTTTATTTCTATGCACAGAATGATATAGCAACAGGTGACTTTAATATAAGTCAAGTAATTTGTGCACATTATGCAATATAAACTCTTCAGGCAGCTATTTTGATACTGGCAAGACTTCTGAGCAAGCCAGTTTTCAGGAGAAAAATAGAAGACAAGATTTATTCCGTTTTCTTTGATTCCTCAAGATGCAAGAAGGCATCCAGCCTTCCTACTACTAAAGCATTCAGAAGACCCATTAGAGATCATACTAGAACTATATTTCATGTGCTTCACCACTTACGTTAGGTCATCAAATTAAATAGCCTCTAGCTTTGTGAACCCTGCCTTCCCACTCCCAACAATTCCTTTTTGCCAAACCATCTTTTCCAAATAATTGTAGTAAAAAAGCATGGGGAAGAATCTTGCAAAGAAAGGGATTATTTCAGAACAGAAATTTCTGAGAAATTCTGACTTTTTAATGAGAGTTTCTACATTGTTATTACCTGCATTCAATACTGTAAATCTAAGAGGAAACTTAGTAAGGCATTATTCATTAGCTCTCATGAAAGGAAACCACATGAAAAATTTCTTTTAGCATGGAAAATAGTAAATTCCCCAAAATAGACTTTTTTTTTTATTATTTTTTTGGGGGGGGGAGGGCAATTTAGGGGGAAAGGTAAGCTGATAGATACTGCTGAACCAGAGAAGTGATATGAAGAAGCCAAAAAATAAATCCAAACACCAATCAATCACTTTCCTCTTTCTTGCAACTACAGACAAGGTTTTGCCTTTGTGATTACAATAGCAAACTGCTGAGAACTGGACTAAGAGCAACAAACTCCTTTTACATTTGTCACAAAACAGCTATAATTTTACATGAAGGGGTGACCTGGATTTGAGCCAGCTGACCAGCTGGAAAATATACAGCCAGTTTTAGGATCTCTATAAATTACTACTTTGCCTCCTTCTGAAGAAACCAATCTAAAAGTGTTCAGATCCCTTTGAAACATTGCAAGAATCAAATTGCAGATAAATCAAATTAAATGTGGACCACTGGCTATTCTATTCTATTCTATTCTATTCTATTCTATTCTATTCTATTCTATTCTATTCTATTCTATTCTATTCTATTCTATTCTATTCTATTCTATTCCAATGAATAAATGAATAAATATGTGACTAAATAAATAAAATGTCTGTGCAGTCATAGCTTGTTATTCTCTGATTCTCTCCTCAGGAAGAACATGCAATCAATAAAAGTAACATGATTAAGCAATGATCTATAGTTTTTTAGCTAAATCAAATCAAAAGAGTTTTACTCTGATCAGGATGAATTTCAGATTAGCTTAAGAGTTTCCTTAATTATAAATATACTTAGCTCAGATATTGACAATTGTGAAGTAAAGGGATCAGGACCTTGAGCTTCATTTGAAGTATGTGGGGAGTCAGTGTTGTACCCAAGTTGTCACTGAGATGGACTACAGTATTTTGCGTTAATATTTCCTAATGGATGAAGGCTTTTAGACTAAATACATAAACACTACTGATGTTGAAGTGAGAAATATAAAAGCACAAGTAACTGTGATTACTTGAAAGAGAAATTAGAATAAGTTGCAATAGCAACATTTGGTCCCAGTCTCTATTACTGTGAGAGTTTGTCAGTCTACCCCAGATGTATAAACATGGAATAAACAGGACAGGATTTCCAATCTAGATTGCTGAAGCAAGATAAAATATGAACCAATAGGAAAGTCAGTTTCATAATGGTTTTTGTGGAGTAGCATATACGAACAGAAAGATTTGACTTCAATGACAACACTTAG